AAAAACAATTTCATTTAAAAAAATATATATTTTTTAATAAAAGATTCAATTTTTTTCGAGATTTGAGAATTATTTTTATTTAAACGCCAACTGAGCCGAAGAAGAAAAAAAACAGATGGAGAGCGAAAGAGGGAGAGCGCGTACTACCCGACTGATAGCCGGAAAGACAACGGAACCAACAGTTGGTCTTTGGTGTAGAATTGCAACTGAGCTACTCATTAAACATTCGCCTGAATGAGAAAATGCAGCCCACAGACAACCAATAAGAACGAGGACAACAACAACAGCAGCAACACCAAAACAAAACGAGGAAAAAACAGATATGTTCGGCCGGGCTGAATTTTTAGTACCCTCTACCATTTTGAAGGAACTTGAAATTTTTCAAAAAAAATACGTGAAATACCGTTATACCTTTACTTTTAAGCATAGGCTGTAGAACCTATTACAAACTTCGAATACGAAAATTTGAAACGATTCGGGAGAACTCTGTCGCTAAAATCGTCAAAATACCGAATAAAGAGAGATATCGTTACATTGGAGCTATACGAAGACGTGGACCTGCCTACAAAATTCAGAGGCATAGGCTGTAGTACTTTTTACAAACTTCGGAAACGAAAATTGAAACGATTCGGGTGAATAATGTCGCTAAAATCATCAAAATACCGAATAAAGGGATATATCCTTACATTGGAGCTATACGAAGCCGTGGATCTGCCTACGAAATTCATAGCCATAGATTGTAGTTCCTATTACAAACTTCGAAAACGATATTTGAAACGATTCGGGTGAATAATGTCGCTAAAATCGTCAAAATACCGACCATCGGTAAGTGTCGTTATATGGGGGCTATACGAAGACGTGGACCGGCATACGAAATTCATAGGCATAGATTGTATTAACCATTACAAACTTCGAATATGAAATTTGTAACAATTCGGATGAATAATGTAGCTAAAATCACCAAAATATCGAATATCGGAAGGTACCGTTACATTGAGGCTATACGAAGAAGTGGATCTGCATACGAAATTTTTAGTCATAGGTGAATAATGTCGCAAAACCCACGAAAATATCATGGGGTACCGTTATATGGGAGCTATACTAAAACGTGGACCTATTACAAACTTCAAAAACGATATTTGAAACGATGCGGGTAAATAATGTCGCTGACATCATCAAAATACCGACTATCGGGAGGTGTCGTTATATGGGGGCTACACGAAGACGTGGACCTGCATACGAAGTTCATAGGCATGGGTTTGTATTAACCATTACAAACTTCGAATATGAAATTTGAAACAATTCGGATGAATAATGTAGCTGAAATCATGGGGGCTATACAAAAATATGCACCGATATGGGCCATTTACGAACTTAACCTTTTTAGCCTTCTATATCAATTCGTTTGAATGATGGCGTGATTATAACATACAGACACACAGACAGACGAACATCGCTAAATCGAGGAATTTCAAACGGAATGACAAAGCTAATATACCCTCCACAGAATGGTGCAGGGTAAAATAAAAGACAACAACAATTAACACACAAATATCAGAAAAGCAATATTATTTCAAAACATTATCATGATGACGCCTAATAAGATAAAAAAGGTACGTGTGCCCTTACCCCCACCACCTCCTACACCCCCACACCTTCAAATTTCTCCTATGTGTTTTTTTTTTCCATTACTAGAAAATACCTTGGTCAATCTTTCCTCACCTTCTTCACTTTCCAATGAATGGCCATTACGATTTGTGATTTTGTTTTAGCCATAGCGTAAGCGTCGCTAATTGTATTGCAAGAAAATAGTGAATGAAGACGAATGTTAGCCAGAACAAAAATAGACACACACAACCCTATGCCGGCCGGCATTGTATTCCCCATAATTAGTTCACGGGGGCCCACATGAAAAAACACACAACAACAGCAATGACCTAAATTCAGGATTGGTGAGAGATGTTATAAGGCTTTAGGATACTATCTGATGGGGGAAAGGGGAACTTTAGAAATATTTTTGAAATTTATTAAAAAATAAAATTTTGAAAATATTTTTTCAGATCCGTTTTTTTTTTTTTTAGACAGAATCTGATCTCTGACCCGAATGTCCCGGTTCTGATATTTAGAAGACATTATTGGTATAACTTGAAAGCTAATGAAAACAAATATCTCAAATCCAGAGATTTTAGTCTAACAGTTAGGAAGGGTAACCAAAGTTTCTTAAATTTGATACTTGTTTAAGTTGGCGTTATGTAGGCGGGGCTTGGAATATTTCCTTTAAGTATTTCCGTAACTACGTTGTACTAAATACGATACTTTTCTTAAGTAACCGACCTTCAACAAGGCCTTAAGATTTTCTCCTTTGGGTATGCCCAAATCGACCGACACGAACAAAATTTTTTTTTTATACCAAGCATCATTTTATTCAACTGAATGGGGTCGAGTTGCCCAATGCACATATCTCTGTTTCCAGGAAAGATAAAAAATATAATGTTGCATTTTGTGAATTCCCATAATGGGGATATTTTCGACTTTTGGGGGATTTTATAAAAAAAAAAAAACAGTAAAGAAAGTCTAACAGTCGGATGGGGCAAACTTTACAATACCCTACAGCCCTTTGCACACGCCCCACAGCACGCGGAGCAATAGACTTTTTGAGAGTCGAGTTTGGTGAATATTTTATATCACTTTCGGGACCAGTCAATTGTCTGCCAAGATGGTACGATTTAACGCCTTACACTATTTTTGTAAAGTCATGTTAAAACTCCCACTTCAATTGACGCTTTTGGAGACATCATTTTCACAAAGAAATGTCTGAAGACATAATTTTCTGCACCACAGTGTGGAGAAGATTATGGCAAAATGAATATTTTTTTTATAGAGGATCGCCAGATCACCAATAAAGAACCCATGTTGTAGCCATGTTCAATGACTAATGGCTTATTTCCATTTCCACTTTAAAAATAGATGTTCGAAAAATAGCCATACTCAAAGAAAAAACAGCCCTTTGCATATTTAGTAGATTCTAATATAACAAATAAAAAATATAACAAATCGGAAGAATGACAGCTATATCTAAACCCATTTTCATTTGGTAGTAAGTGCCAAATTCCATCCTATTTGGGCTAATATTACACGTATGGTTCACCAAAAAAGCAAATCGGAAGAAGATATATAGAGCTACGTATAAATCTGAAACGATCTCGAGAAAATTTGGAAAGGTATTTCTGTGCTGTATTTGACATATTTCCCCTAAATATCGTTGTTACAGAGTTTATATTACTTCTGCGGAGGACAAAAAATATCAAATCGGATGAAAAAATTTTGATCAAATTTGTTATACTTATTTCCAGACATAAGTTGATCATATATGCAAAATTCTATGCTATTTAGGCTGATATTAAACGTTTGGTGCACAATAAAAGGCAAATCGGACGAAGATATATATGGGAGCTATATCTAAATTTTTGACCGATCAACTTGTCCTTATGTCAAACTAATGATTTGTGCAAAATTTCATCTTGATTGGGCAGCAAATGCGACTTGTACTTTGTTTACAAAAATACATGGACCGATAGACGGACGGGCGTGAATCAATCGACTCCGAATGTGATTCTATACAGATCATCAAAAGAAACTATGAGTCTATTTCGTTTCATTTTGCCTGTTACAAACAAATGCACATAGACATAATACCCTGAACACTATGTGGTGGTGTAGGGTGTAAAAATCCGGGTCCAAAAAAATCGATAATTTTGATCAAAAAAAAATCCAACCATTTTTGAGTATCGCCATAATTGGAAAGGCAATTTCTTACGCTTTTAAATGATACCCATATTGTATAACGCGGACTTTCATGTCACTTATATGGCTATACAGGTTGGTCCGTAATCACGGTACAAATACCCACCTCCGGAAAAATCTCAAAACAATCGTACAATCTACACCAAGAGAAACACGTAAGACCTCGTTATCTGACCTATGACTAGATAACCTCAAGGAATAATATTCTCGAACACGTGTTAAGGGGAATATTTTTAGGCAACACTGGCGCAAACAGCTCACACACGTTTGCGTTTGGTCAAGCGAACAAATTTATTATCAAAATCCGTGAACTGTAAATAAAGATCTTTGCGCGTTCCATCCACTTCCGACTCAATCTAACTATTTTTTGCTCAAAATACAAGAGCTTGGCTAGCATGGCAAGTGGTTTCGGTGCCCCACAGCACTCGGAGCAATGGACTTTTTGAGAGTCTAGTTTGGTGAAAATTTCACTTTCGGAGCCGGTCAATTGTCTGCCGAGATCGTACGACTTAAAGCCTTTACACTATTTTTATAGGGTCATGTTAAAACTCCCGCTTCAATTGACGCATTTGAAGAGAACATTGTTACAAAGAAATGTCCAAAGACATAATTTCCTGCCAGATTATAAGAGAATGAATATTTTTCTTTTTTTTTTTTGTATAGAGGATCGCCAGATCACCATTTAAGTAGTTTTTTATAGCTGTGGTCTTGCTTGTTGTACTCATATTCCATGACTAATTATTTATTTCCATTGTCACTTAAAAAATAGATGTTCGGAAAATACCCATACTCAAATGTGGTTACAAAGGGGCAGACATGTCCACTACCAGTGGGTTTGGAATGATTTGACAGATACCTATGTTCGTACATGTTGTTTTAATAATTTAAGGCGTTATTTGTGTAAATTTCCAAAAATACCCAGCACAGGCTTGCGATCCGCATTGACATAGTTATGTACATAACGTGCACCCTCCCCCGCCGCAACAAAATAACTGATCTATGTGGCTGCATTAAATCTTTTTTTTTAATTTTTGCCAAACAAATGGTGTTCTCCCATTTCGCGACTAAATAAAAAAGTTCCAAAATGTACAACCACCTAAACTAGGCCTTCTCTTGTCTTAATATAAGCTCTTTAATAAATAGTAAATGCCAATGAAAACTTACATGCAACTTTCAAAATCACAAATGTCACTTACCTTACAATAATGATGATGTGGGTCAATGGTTTTGATCAATTGGCCGGGGCCGGCATGCAAAAGTGAACAATGTAATTATGACGGAACTAGAGAATTGCAAAAAATTCAATAATAAATAAGACCACGGATTCAGTGGATATTTAATTTTTTACACATATGCTTTTTGTTGTTGTTGTTTTTAAAATTTTTGCAAAATTAAGGTATTCGTGCAACAACAATTCACACTGGGTCGACGAACACACACCCTCCGCAACGCACACAAAATAATTGGAACCCAGACAACAGACTTTCGCCGAAAGCAAACGATTTTTACAAATTGGATTATTACATTTACATTATTTCATTGTCAACATTTTCACTGCAAAATTTTAATTTTTAATTAATTAATAACTTTTGTTATTTGGTGCAAAAATTTGCTTAAAACAAATAAATCTACACAAATTACAATTGCCACACACAAAGAGAAATTTGTTGTTGTGTCAGAAAGAGACTTGTCGCCGCGTGTTTCTTCGATCACAACAATGTTGGTCAACATGAAATGAACACTCACAAGAACGTGACAATTTTTCACATAATTTTATGTAAATTTTCTCATTTATTTGTATATTTCTTTTTTATTTTTGCTATTTTTGTAATCAGAGAGAGCAAATTGCACTTATAATGCACTTATACAATATGGCAACACTGAAAAGAAAGACAGCACAGAGAGAAAATCGAAATAAAGATGGAATCAAAAGGGAAAGGCGGACAACACAAAAGGAATCAAAACAAAACGGCCGACAACACTGCAACAGATGTTATGCACTTATTTTGTTTTGTTGTTGACATTTAGTTTATCTGTTTTCATTTTATCTTTTCTCCTTATCTAGGGATAGGTAGGTCGACTTTCGAATAATCGATTTATCGACTTTTAATGTTGAAAAGTTAATGTCGATTTGAAAACACCAATCGTTGGACTAAAAAAACAAGTCCAGATTTAAACTAGTCGAGTTTACTAGCGGCAATTTGCATCGATCTCTTTTGAACTTGCCTCTTTGATTTTTATAATTCGTTTTCTAATTTTGTTTTTTATATTTCTGTATAAAATTAAAGACACAATTGCCCGTACTACCATGGTATAATGAGAAGGTAGAACAGCTTCGTAAAACTACAAAAGAGCTTGTGGCCGCGTGTTTCTTCGATAAAAACAATGTTTTTTTTTATTGTACCATGAATGCGACCATTTTTTTCCATTTCTTTTCTCTTTTTTCATCTCTCGGCCAAACAGAGGCTTTTTAGACCTATAGGAAGTTAAAAACCAGTAAGGAAAGATCAAAAGTCAGGCGGGCCCGACTATATGACACCCTACACCACTATGAGTATTTAGAAGAGCTCCTGTAACCAAAAAAGGTTATAGTGGCAGTTTATGTGAATGATATGACTTCGATACGGATTATATTAAAAACCAGTAAAGAAAGTCTTAACTTCGGACGTGGCCGACTTTATGATACCCTACATCACTTTGCTAATTTAGTAGAGCTGCGCATAACAACTAAAAGTTTTTATGGGAGAATTCAATCATACACGCCATGATTATAATTATAATTTAAAGTTCAAAGGACTAAATATGCCGAAGCATTTGTATCTTTTAAATTCGGAAATCGGATAAAAATATATATGGGAGCTATATCCAATTCAGAACCGATCTCGATAAAATTTGGCAAATATATTTCTGAGCTGTATTTGATATATTTCCCTGAATATCGTTGTTACGGAGTGCATACTACGGTTGTGGGTAACAAATATAATAAATCAGATAAATAATATATATTCAATTCGGTCGTAAGTACCAAATTTCATCCCATTTGGAGAAATATTAGACATTTTGTGCACAATAAAATGTAAATCGGACGAAGTTATATATGGAACCTATAGCCAAATCTGAACCGATCTCGATAAAATTTAGCAAATGTATTTCTGAGCTGTATTTTATATATTTCCCCAAATAATATTGTTACAGAGTGCATATTACGGCTGCGGAGGACAAAAATAACAAATCGGATGAACAATATATATGAGAGCTATAGCTATATCTGAACCGATTTCGATCAAATTTGGCATGCATATTTTCAGGCCTAGTTTGGGTGTATATGCAAAATTCCATACAATTCTGATATTACACGTTTGGTGCACAATAAAAGGCAAATCGGACGAAGATATATATGGGAGCTACATCTAAATTTTGACCGATTACCACCAATTTCAATAGGGTTCGTCCTTGGGCCAAACAAAAGATCTTTGCAAAATTTCATCTGGATCGGGCAATAAATGCGATCTGTACTTTGTTTACAAAAATACAAGGAAAGACGGACGGACGGACGGACGGACATTCATAAATCGACTCAGAATGTGATTCTATGCAGATCAGGAACTATGGGTCTATCTCGTTTCCTTCTGACTGTTACAAACAAATGCACAAAGACATAATACCCTGACCACCTTGTGGTGTAGGGTATAAACACATAAAATCTGTATTTGAATGTAGTATGGTCATATCATGCAAAATTTGATCGCGACTGCGTTTCAATACACAGTGCTCCCTACCTGTGACAAAAATCAAAAACCTAAATGCCAACTCTGCGCATGTTCTGTGCATTAATTTTTACAATTTATTCAATTTTTATTAAGTGAAAATCGTTCCTGCAATTCTGAAAATTAAAAAATTAGTAGATACATGCAGGTTCTGAAACAGACAAATAGACTTCTAACGTAAACAACAATTGGTCTTGTTTATTTCACAATTTCACAGCATATATGTGCTGTCACGTTTATTATTAACTTATGTCAAAATTTTCATTTTACATACGATTTTATTTTAAATGTTCTTTACTCACATACTTCACAATCGAAATGTCGTGCTTGTATCACACGATGTGTCTACACACGGAAAATTTGCCATAACGCATTGAAGAATACAGGTAGATGAATCAACGCTTGGGCACATTGATATGTCAAAAAATTTCATTTTTTTTCAAAAATAAATAGATTTTTATACATTTTCTTATACGACGCCAATCGCAGGTTGTTATGATATGCATTTTTCAAAAATTTGTACAAATTTAAATAATTTTTCATTCAACATTTTCAATTACAAAAATTGGTGTGACAGTTCATTGTCCTATCAGCTGTGTCGACGCGTCTACCTATATGGTTCTACCATGCGCATGGTAGAAGCATTGACATAGCTGTTGTTCCAATTTTGGAATTGGAAATGTTGAATAAAAATTATTTAAATTTGTAAAAATTGTTGAAAAGCGAGTATTATAATAATTTCCGAATGCCGTCGTATAGGAAAACATATAAAAATCTACATATATATGAAAAGACATTTAACATTTTTTGACATATCAATGTCCCCAAGCGTTGATACAACTACCTGTATTTTTCTACCACGGGCCTGGCAGAATTAAAAGGAAATGTCATGGTATCATATGTTTAATAATATTAACCATATTTGCCATGGAATTCAAATATTGAATACTTAGGAACATATTCTTGAGAGAACATCCAGGCATTTTATTCACCTTTCGCGCTATTTCACGCATTTTAGAAATGAAAAAAAAAAATAAATGAAAGCCACTTGTTGCCTATAATTTTGAATAATTCTGACAGGAAGCGGGCATAGCCACAGGGCTGTATTTTTGTAGTTTTACGAAGCTTTTCTACCTCCTTATTGTACCATGAGTGCAATAAATTTTAATTTTAACTCCACAAATATTCTCTTAACATTTCAAATTTTAATATTCCATGTATGGTAAAATTAAGAAGGTAAAGTCATTTCAAATAAGCATAACCATCTCTGCATATTCTATAATTTACCTTGTCAAACTTCAATGAATATAAAACAGTTTGCCGTCTCTGATTTCTGTCAATGGATTCATAAATATATATTTTGACAATGAGATGTTGTCATGTCATGGTACAAAAAAAAAAGATAAGTTAGAGCTACCAGCTGATCAAAAACCTTTTTCTAAAGTAGGTTCTGACAGGTTCTGAAACATATCAATAGACTTATCTTCTATAGTATGTAACAATTGGTTTGGTTTATTTCAATTTTTTTTTAATTGGAAACAATACGCATTTGCTGTCACGTTTATTATCAAAGCATGTGAAATTTTTTTAAGTATGATTCATAATAATTGTAAAAAAACACTCGCAATCATTAGAAATCGCATATTTGCATCAACGCTTGGGAGCATTATAAGTAGATTTTTATATGTTTTCTTATACTACGTCATTCGGAGGCTATTATAATTAACGTTATCATCAATTTTTACAAATTTAAATAATTGTTCATTCAACATTTTCAATTCCAAAATTGGTTTGACAGTTCATTGTCCCAGCAGCTGTGTCGACACGTCTACCTATATTCTTCTACCATGGTGTCTACACACGGAAAATTTGACATAACGCATATAAAAAACATTTCGTCTAATAGAGCCTTTATTATTAAGACATCACTGCAGGAGTGATGTGTTTTGTGTACAGAGTACGCCAAAAGCCCAGCGTGACGCCGTCGATTGGTTCACATCTGATAGCAGCTAGTTCCGCGCTCTCTTAGTGAAAGTGTTGTGTTCAACAACATATATTAGCCGTTTTGTTTTGATTCCTTTTGTGTTGTCCGCCTTTCTGTTTTGATTCCCATCTTTATTTCGATTTTCTCTCTGTGCTGTCTTTCTTTTCAGTGCTGCCAAGTATCCTTTGTTCGTTACTTCACTCTCCCGGTGGCGTCGGTGGCGACGGTTTGGTGTGTAAATTGTTAATTCATTAATTAATTCTTAATTATTTAATTATTTATCGTATTTCCTGTAAAAATTTATATATAAATATCTAGGTACAATTAGAACAAATGTGTGTATGTGTGATTTGATATTGTGCGTGATTTAAAAAACTTGAAAACAATTGAAACGGGAAATGATAACATAAATCATTTGCAAAACCAAGCGTGAAACACCCATAAACATTAAAATCATAGTTATAAAGCAAAATTAATCGGTCAGTTCTTCACCAAACTCCAGGAAAAAAATACTAACCCAATCAATGTCCGCCGCTGTAGCAGATGCTACAAAGGATACATTGGCTGTGACCATAGACACGACGCAGTTTCAGTTGAGTAGACTTTGCGAGCCAGTTCGTTTTGCTGCAGTTGACTAAAAGTAATTAAAAGGATAATAAGATATAATTTAAATAGTGGCTATTTCAGAATCCTTCTAAAGTTATTTGTAGAATTTAAGGAGTTTTTGAAGGATGTATGACTTTTTAGTTAAAGACGACATGGAAAAACTATCCAAATGTATTTTTCTTCAATAAAGAAAATCATTTATTAATAACATTACATTTCATTATTTTAGAAAATATAATTGTTTTTGTTAAAACTATGTATTACCCTTCGCAGCTGGGACGTTAATGACAGTACTAAAGATCAATGATAAACAATTCAAAGGGCCGGCTCAAGATATGGCTGATCAATGTGATCTTCCAAAAACACCTAAGCACAATAAAGGTATGGATTCAAAATAAAGTAAAGAAATATGATAATAGACAATCTATCCATTTGAAGCAGTTGATAACACCCCCATTGCTGGTGCAGTAAAAAGCAAAACTATGCTAGACGAAAATAAAAAAGTTGGCAAAGGTATGTGGTTCATTTATTATTGCGTTACTATATTGATGAGTTTTCCTATCCATTCCAGCCGACAAGGAAGGCAGTAGCAAAGAGTGTTTTGAGCATTTATACAATAAAAAAGCTCCGCTTTGTCCAGTTACCATATTGGAATTTAGACAATACACTAATGTTGATGATGTTGTCAGGGATTTTTGCCAGCAAACTTACGGCAAAAACAGTAAAGTGTCTTTCGAGGAACAAATGAAGCGTTTCTTTTTGTATTTTTATACTCACCCAAAACTTCGCACGGAACCACCACTAAATCGCGTGCAATTGAAAGGTAACTGCCCGGCGGAGATGCAATTAAAACTACTTGATGAAATAAAACGAAAGAAGAAAACAAAGTCCATCAAAACAGTGACGGGAAGTGAACAACATGACAGCTTACCGCTTAATGAAAAACATGGACAAGAAGACCAGGAGAAAGTTCCAGGTGGAAAAGAAAACGTGATAGAAAATCGCAAGATGTTGTCTGGTAATGTTGCCAATTGCAAGCATCAAAATGAACAACAACAACAATATCCCAAAAGTGACCCTAAGAAAACATCCGAATTACACATGCCAACAACACTTGTTCCTACAATAGATGGGTCTATGGTTCGAAGCAATCCAATACCTGATAAAGAAATTGTACATCAACAATGCCGTGAAGTTGAAGAATTGGGCGATGGAGAAGAAAGACACACAATAGAATTGAAATCTTATAGTGGTATGCAAACCAATATCCAGAAGACTACAATTGAATCCACAACGAAAACTTCTGTTGCCATTGTTCCACCCAACACATTGAATATTAATGTTAAACCACAATCCGTTTTAAAAGGTCTGAATGAAAACATAGCTATCATTTATTTAAAAAGTAAAAGACTATGCGGATCTTCTTTAAGCAGAATTATTGATTTTTTTTTGAAAATCTGATAGAAGATCTGTATACCTAATCATAGAAGATATTCTTACGAAAGTCCTGTATATCTGTTTGTTGCATAGATTAAAATCTTCAAACTTTCCCACACAATGCATTTAGATTTCGCCCATAGAAGATCTGTAAATCAACTCTTAGAATGAAGATCTTAAGATCTTCCTTTATTCCATTGCAATAATAATAATTTCTCTCAAACCATCGTAGGCTGTGATGTTCGTGTAAATGAAAATCCCATCAAAAGACCAGCACAAAATGTTTTTAAACAAAACGATGAACCGACAACATCAAAACGTCCAAAAGGTATATCTTAAAATAATAACAAATACAAATTATTGATATTTAAATTTTATAACACAGTTGATGCATTTACAGGTCAGCAGGAGGTAAATGGCGAAAATAGAAATACACATATTAGCAAAGGTAGGCATATTTAATTTGAACAATAGTTCATATGACAACATTCCTTATTTTTCACATTTCAGGTGGTAAAGAAAGCTGTGGGAAAATTCTCTTTGAAAATTTATACAACAAAAAGGTCAAGCTATGTCCCGTAACAATATCGGAATTTCGAAAATACACCAATGTTGATGCTGTAGTAAAGGATTTCTGCCAACAAACCTATGGCAAGGATAGCAAAGTGTCTTTTGATGAACAACTGAAACGTTTCTATCTTTACTTTTATACTCATCCAAAACTTCGTTTGGAAGCACCTTTAGTTAGTGTAAAACTGGTGGACGATTGCCCACCAGAAGTAAAAGCAAAACTACTGGATGAAATAAAACGAAAAAAGAAAACCAAAACAACCACCAACGATGATGGATATCTTCTAAGGAATTCATCAAATGAAAATCTAATGCCACACAACGGCAGCAAACCGGAAACTCAAATAATATCCAAAAATAATAGTGATTCCATGGAAATTAATAACAATCAGACGGCCTCAAATGAACAAAATTCCGTTGGGGAAAATCAAAATTTTGTATTTAGAAATATATCAAACAGCTCTTCAAAGAAACAAACATCTTTAAATAAACAGGAGTTACTAGAAACATGGCTAAAGACTACAACTGAAATGCTAATGCAACCGACATTAGATTCCTTGCAAATAGATTCGGAACAAACAAATAATGAAGTGAGCCGAGCTGGTCTGCAGCAAGGGTGTGCGTTTGAAAATCCTCAAAACGAAATGAGAAACACCAAAGATACTCAATTTAAAAAAAATATGTGTCATAATGTTGCTGAAGGTCTGTTAGGTTTGTTAAATCATAACATTGTTATGTTTACGTTATTTTTCTTATCATTTAGCTGAACTGATTTCCCATGATCGCGGCAACCAAAATTCCTCTGGCCACAATGAAGAAAGATTACCCAATAACCGTGTTCAAATTTTAGATAATGTGGTACTGCATGATCTCTATCCGGTGGACCAATTAAATCAGACTAATGTTTCGGAGATAGTGTAAGTTTTTTTAGCCATATGAACAATATGGAAGTTCTCGAGAAAATAACTACTTTTTCTCCTAGAAATCGGATATATTTCTCCCCTGAATTTTTGATAGAAACTGAAATTGTAATTACATTTGTAGATCATTACGTCAAGGATACAGACGTTCTGGGCATTTTTTGTGGTAGTTTTGTTTATAGAATTTCTGCAGAAACCCTTTCCCAACGGTATCTATAGATCTGCCCAAAGATAATTCTGATATCTTCTCACAGACGATTTGTAGATACTATCAATGATAATGATCAGTACCTTTTAAAAAAAATTGTTAAGATATCTTTTTCAGATCATCTCATGAATAATGTATAACACTTCTCATAGATTATCGATAAACTTTCAAATGCAGCTAAAATATTATTTAAAACCTAATACTATTTTCCAGTTCCACACCAATCAATAATCGATGCCTTGGTTGTAATATTTCGCTGCAAGAATTTGTTGGCGGCACCAATATTATGCAAATCTTAGAAAGTCGATACGAAACAGTCAATATGGAAACCGTATATCAAGTATATGTACAATTTCTTAAAGACGTCGATTATGATGATTTGTGGAAATCATCCATGGTAATGACATTCAGACTGGTAGAATTGTATAAAACGTGTACAAAGCTTTGTGACCGATGTAAACTTCTACAGGATTCGACGTTAGAAATCCAACCAGCCATGACAGACAGGTTGCCCCAGAATGAAGCTGGGTTTCAAGCGACCAATCACACTGTGGAAATGCAAGAGTATGTACATTGTGATAATTTTGAGTTTTTATTTAAATATATTTAATAGTTTAAATCGAATACTTCTTAGAGTGTTGGGACATAAAAGCCAAACTGTAATTCAGCCGGTACATGAAGAAAATACAGCTCAACAAGTTGTGGAAGAGACTACAGCAAATAATATTCAATTTCGACACGGAACTGAGGAAAATCATGAGCCACTTGTGCCTGGAAATGAGCCAAACATTACTAAAGCTCATCAAAGCGAAATTAGCCCTCAAATGTAAAATTCATATTTTTTTTTGGATCGGTTTAAGTTTTATAACAAACATAATCTTTTTTCAGATCTTCGATAGGCACAGAAGCAACAGTTGTGCCCAACAAGAAACCCACTCGTACGGCAAATAAACCCGGAGATTCCGACCCCAAATTCACTTTAGAGCAAATCCTAACGAAAATTCAAAGCAGTGAAAGGTACGTTTTTTCCGAATCCTTTTTATTTCTGATTATTTTCATATTCAATTTCCAATTTCCAGGTGGTATCAGAAATTCAAAACCAATCTATTGGAAAATCTTAAAAATTGTCAAAGTGGTGCCATCAATGCTGTTATGCCTGTATCGTTGGAACAATTTAAAAAGTGTTCACATTATGAAACACCAATTCGGGACAATCTTAAAAGCTATTGTGGCAATAATTCGGAACTGCTAAACAAATTAGAAAATGATTTGGACATTTACCAAGAAGTATTGTGTTGTTATTACAAATCATATTTTACCATTCCAAATTTTCGCCATAAATATCCACTTAAACTCAAATTATGTCCGGCATCGATACGTAAGAAAATGTTAAGTTTCCAGGTGAAGGGCACCAGCAGTTCGTATGATCTCAATAACGAGAATATTTCTCCACCGAGTTCACCCATGAAAGTTGTAATAAATGACGTTGTAATGGACAAATGCAATATGGCTAATACGGAATTCGAAAGTGCAAATGAATCACAGCCAACTCACATAATATTGTCGAATACATGTTTAGAAGATCATAATGGTAAATCGAAACCAGTGGTGAATTGGAAGACAAGCCCCCAGAAAACTCTTAAAAAGCCTCAATTACAATATCATGTAACTGCAGATGGTCGATATGCAGAACCGATTGCAATTTTACTCGAAGAAACGACGCCTTCAATAAACCAGCAGGAAACAGTTGCAAAGGATCGCAAAGAATATGGTATTATTTCTGCTTTATCTGTAGCCACACAAACCAGCAATAGTCACTCTTCGGTACCCTGCGCCGTCAATACTGCAGCAATACCGGTGACAAAGGCAGCTAAAAAAGTTCATTTCAAAACACCAACCTCAAATGAGCCAGAAAATGTCACCGGTTTGAAGGAGTATCCAAAAGCATCTCCACATCCACCAACAAAACTGGAAGAGGAAGTATTTTCCGCAACAACTTCGTCGAATACAATGGAAACTGTTACAGAGCTTGCAAAATCTGCCAATTCACCAAAAACAAAATTAGCAGCGCCAGTCAAACAAAAAGAAGTCATGCAAAAAATGAAGCAAAATGTTGAAATAATTTCAAACATAGCCAATTATGAGAAAACTGTTGAAAAAACGTCCAAGCCAGACAAACATTGTGGGCCCGCCATGTCATGCAATTCCAATGAAAATGAAGCAGACATTGAAAAACTCATTGAAAAAGCTACAACATCGACTGCCACATTAAATAGTAAAAGAACTGAAAAGCCTGCCACTTTACTGCCCGGTCACCAAAATGCAGATGAAAAGGTTGCTCCAAGTGAATCGGAAATTGCTACCTGCTCAAATCCACAGAAGCCTGTAGAGGAAACAAATCCCTCTAACACAGCAATTATAAAAACAGTGGATAAATTTATCAATAAAAACCAAGATGCTGTTATGCAATCCAAAAAAAGCAGACATCCTGCAAAATCCACCACAACGAAAAAAGCTTTACAAAATAAAAGAGCTTTCATTTTTTTGCCTTCTAAATATCGCTCGATATTCAATCGGAAATCAGCTACAACTAAAAATGAGGGCAGTACCACCAAATCTTTGCCATCAACTACAACTGTTTATGAAAATCTATCACAACAACAACAACAAGAACTGACCCAAGCCAATACCACTATATATTCAGATTCATCATTAGACGAAGAGCCGGCAAATGAATCACAGTGCAAATTGATGGCCATTTTAAAGGAGCGTGAGGTAAGTCGAACATTTCACATTTGTAGTTTTGCAATTTTTATATTAATACGTCTTCTGCCTTCCGTTTTCAGACCTTCTCATTGCGTTACATGTCGCGGGTATCCTGTGGCCTAAAGCAACGCATCATTGGCCTCATAAATAATTTAAGTTTTGACGAATTTCGTGGCACAATAAAACTCTATCAGGCACCGGAAATATGCGAAGACGACACTTCTGCAAACAAACTATATAATTATGTTCTGAAGGAGAAATGTTTGTGGCCCAAAGGACTCTATATACCGGTCAAAGATTTATGTTTCCTGTTGAAAAAGAACTCATTTACAATACCCGATACTGATACAACTCTATTGAAATATATATCACCGAGATTTCTTCATTGGATCGATCTTGTCTATAGCACAACGTTTTTGGCCAATGTACATTTGTACTATACACATGTCAACAATCAGTGTCTAAATGCCACCGATAACGAAGAGGTGGAAAAGGCATGCCAAGCATATTACAATGAATGTTGGCAAAAGAACAGTTGGTGTTTATCGGTACCAACATTGAGCTTCGATCTGTTGGGCATTGTGCCGGTACAGCAGGGTAGGTTTGTTTGACTCTTTAAGAATTGGAAATTGTTAACGAAACGTATTTATTTCTCCTTTCTAGCTGTACAAAAGGAGAAGAGAAACTCTAATGATTTGCAAGCAACGAAATCAAATACCTTTGAGCAAGAGAACAATAATTCGTCAAAGGATAAACAAGGTGAGACATTGACAGTAGTTACAGTTTCATTGCAGCAATTACGTGAAATCACATTGCCAGAGTGTATAGATGAATCTGCTCGATTGCCTGACAATAGAAATACCAAATGTAAGTTTGGTACTCAAGCTCACACTTAGTTACAGGTTTATCTTTTCATGTGTGTTCAGAGAGAATAGTGATGGGATAGGGGCCTGATTACAAATCATGTTATAGTCATATGTAAATTGACTTTCTCTTTGTACATACATATATTATACACTCGCACGGCAATTTTTAACTTGAAAAAGTGTTATATTCAACAATGTAGTACAGGGTGATATAAGAAAAACTACAACAAAGTCAAAAGCCATTCGCCTTTTTCTTAATTTTATTGAATGAAAGCAAAAAATATCGGAAATACCATCAAATTTTAGAATAAGTTTAGATTTGTTCGAATTGGTCACCTTGGGCCTTCAAACGGACAATGAAACCGTCACACGCTGCCCGAATGCTGTTCTGCGGCATTTTGGTGCGATCCCGGCGAAGCGCTTGCTTGAGGTGTTCGACACTTTGGTATTTTTTAGTGTCAATCTTGCATTCCAAAATATTCCAGACACAAATGCAGCGAAGAACCTTATTCTTCGGTTGCGCAAGTGCGATGAGTTGCTGAGTCCTATTGGAATGTCCAATGTTTGCGTGCCCAAGGCTTTAATACACCCTCCAGAATATTTTCGCGATAAAATTCGGCATTTATTCTGATGCCACGATCGAAGACCATCGGCTGTTATGGCGTAATAGCCCACACCATCACTATGGCCGGCGCTTGAGTTCTGGTACCCAACCGAAGGTGCACATTTTCAGCTGACCTCTATAGCAAGTAACACGATCATATTGTTTTTTGTTGTTTACAAACTTCTGGACAACGAATGTTTTCTCATCGTAAAAAACCAAATTCGGCAGTTCACCACTTTTGACCAAGCGAAGCAACTCTTTAACTGTTTGGAATTTCAATGGCTTTACCCCTGCCATATGTTTAGCTCATGAGCCATTTTTCGGCCACTGCGACGCTGATAGCCACTTGAAATCACACTATCACGCTTGAATTCCATTGACCTTTTATGGTGGAGGTTCCGAAGCAGTTGGCCAATATTGACCAATTCATCTGACCTAAGACCGAAAAAAATATTACGACGTGCCAGATTCGACTAAATCGACTACTTCCTATACGTTATATGAGATATGTGCAATTTTTTTGGAAAATGCGGAAATATGCATGAGGTAACAGATATAGCGGACCGAAGTATTTCATTTCCATCTAATGTTGATAAAAAATACTAGTATGTGCATAATTTGAAGGAAATCGAACATTTATATCAAATTTTATGCGAAATCATGAATTTCGATAAATGACATATTCATATCAGATTTCTGGTTAAGAGAAATATTTAGATATATCAAGTTGTAAAAAATTGCCGACTTGTTTCGCAAGTTATGTTTCGTTCAGTTATTTATTTATGTTTTTTATTCATGCATTCTTATATTTATCGTTTTATTTCTTATACAGCAGTAGAAACAAAACGCGATTTCATACGCAACAGTTCTCCACTTTCCATTCGATGGAATTCTTCTACCGACACTGTCTTGAGTTGTGTTGCCGCAGATGTGGAACAGAATGCCAATAATAATCCACTATTGGACCAGGCTAATTTTGTTGATATCCCGCAATCCACTCAATTGGCAAGAGCCGATACAACAATGTTTTCCGAACTACCTATTGAAGAGTTAAGTTCTGTTGGGGCAAGCCAAAAAAGTGATCCACTTAAAGATGCCATGAACGATGATGATGATGGTGAAAGCTCCGATGATTGTTGTGGTAAGTAAATTGCAGTATTGCAAGAAACAATGTGGTTCCTTCAGGAATATTCTTTCCAACGATCAGGGATATATTCTTTGGGATGAATAGATTAGATTTCTTAAGAAGCTTGTTTAAGAACATCCAGATGTATGACCTTACATTTTCAAACATATTTTTAGGGGCCCAAACTGAGCTATGAACTTGGTTTTTTGATCACTTAATTGTTTGAGAAAACCAACAAGGCTATGTCGTGTATATCGAGGAATACGTTTTAAAACACCAACAGATGTAAAAATTCCTGAAGAAAATTTTCTTAGGATTATCGGACGAATTTTTGTGAAATATATTTCCAAGGATAATCACTGGCCAATCATATATTTTTATATCATAAGCCTTATGGCTACAGAGGGTATATATCATTTGATACGGCTAGGGCGTGCCTCATCGAAATAACGGGTTTAGACTCTAATTGTGTTTGGGCGGAATCCATTCCGTTGTTGAAGCAATAATAGTTCATGTAGATGTTTAAATTCTGTTAATCTGGTTCAATCTCCAGGTTTAAAAATTCCGCTGTAAGCAGAGATCTTTTGTAGTGAGTTGGGTAGGTTGGGTGCGGGCCTGTATCACACGCCGGGCAGACGTCACGCACATCTTCGTCAATTCGTGCCCAATACGAATTGACACGACTACACCATCCAGAACGTAATTGTGCCAAAACTGCCCTGGTTTATCTTCAGCTGCAATGGATGGGGTGGAGTCGAGCCAAGGCGTGCCTAATCGAAATAACGAGTTAAGACTCTAATTCTCTTTGGCCGGAATCCGTTTCGGGACATTTGGAATCGACTCCATCGTTGTCCATCCGTCTGCCTGGAAAATAATAGAGTAGAATGAATCATTGAAGTTTATTCCACCTTTTCCAAGTTCTAATATTTTTATTAGTGCTAGGTCAGTGAGAGCGCCCACAAAGAGTTCAAAACATTGAATAACTAAAACGCTCATAAAATGCGACATACATACGTATCCGATAATTTTCAACCTTCACACATTCCATCATTTCTACCAGCACAAGATCTTGTGTGAATGTGGTAGATATCGGTCCACTCCTTCTGTTAATGTTAATCGGCCGGGTCGAACTTTTTATACCCTCCACCATTCGAGAGGTATTTAAAAATACGAAAAATATGATAGGCTGTAGTAACGATTCCGAACTTCAAATACGAAATTTGACTCAGTTCCGGTAAATATGTCGCGAAAATCCTGAAAATATCGAATATCTCGGGATAACGTTATATGGGTGCTATACTAAAAGACCTATATAGACAATTCCCATCCAGGGAGCAAAGTAGTCACGAAGAACTCCTTGTGTAGAATTTCAGACTATTCTATTGAAAAATGTAGTTAAGATCATCGAAATATCGAATATCGGAGGTACATTTTTATGGGGGATATACGATTTCGTGGACCTATATAGACAATTCTCTTCCAGGGGGTAAAGTAGTCACGAATCGTTATATGGGGGCTATACGATATCGTGGACCGATATAGCCCATCTTCGAACTTGACCTGCCTGTAGATAAAAGACAGATCGTTGCAAAATTTTAGCTTCCTATCTTTATTCGTTTTGACTCTAGCGTGATAACAACAGACGGGCGGACAGGGTTAAATCGTATTAGACTTTTTTAAAATTATTATTTCGATCAGTTACAAATGGAATGGCGAACTTTATATACCCTCCTCCATCAACATCTGGAATAACTAAAACTCTCAAAAAATGCTCCCAATGTGCTACTCATGTTTGTTTTTGTTTTCTAATCTTTTAATTGTGTTTTAATTCCAGTTATACCCCCTAAAAATATCAAAACCGAACCTATCGAAAATCATGCACTACGGAATTTATTATTTACCCTCAGTGATGATGAGGATACCATTCATTGTTCCAAGATCAGTGAAGAAATTGTCGATTTAGATTGTTCAACAGGAGGATATGCCATTCCCGACGATGCAAATTTACCACCTTCCCAAATTGATTTCGATGCTAGTAATGATGGCAGTGGTGTAACTGCAAATTACCCCAACAAATTACAGTCTAGTGCAGAGTGTTTAAGCAGTGGTGATAGCAGTTCCATATTGAATCCCGGTCAACGTTTACCCAGTAGTACGGGTAGTTTGAATGAAGCACAAACTGAAGTGGTCCATTTGCCAAGCATATTGGAACACGATGTCAATATGATGGGCGGCAGTGAAAGTGACAATGGCATACAATTAACACCATATGCGGGTGTAAAGATCAAATCGAAAGCATCCAATCACACGGAGGATGATAATGTGGAAGTATCACATAGTTTAATGCAAAATGCTCAACGATTGCCCAGCTCGTTGGAAGAGACTGCATTGGAAAATAATGAAAAAATTGCATTGCAACCCGTTCCCCAATCATCTATGGTGAGGGCAAATCAGGAACCCATGGTGAGAATACCTATAACAGTTGTCACCGCAAAGAAAACGACACAAAAGAAAATAACTGGCAGATCCGATTTGGTGCCACAGTTGACACATAATATACGTCCCCTACCTATTGTCCTGGGAAGAAATACCAATTTACAAGGACCACAGCGCAGGGCTTCACTCACATGCATATTGGAACCAAATGAGTTTGAACCCGGTCCCACATCAACACAAATCAACCCCACCTTACATCCTCCAGTCATTGCTACTGTCCAAGATGATCACAATTTTGCCTTGCCTTCAAGTAGTGGCTCATCGGCTGCCGCCAGTGGAACAAGTCTGAGAGTCTCTCAGGAATTATCGACAGATAAGACTCTATTTAATAACACCTCATTATTAAGAGCTTTGGATAATGCCGGCAGAGCCCAAGAGTGTTTAGCCACAGATTTGGAAACTCAACCCGCATCAACAGCAAAACAACCCCTCATTAAGGTAACTACCCCAATCCCAAGTCCATCACCACCACCAGCAATGGTCCAAAGAAATCTACTCTTCTACACATTAATCGAATTTCATTATTTCGAAAATCTCCAACCAAGTCATGTCCTTCAGTACGAATTACCTACCATGCATTATGGTTATCCCTACCTCTTGGCCACAATTAGTAGCGGTGAACTTAAAACAAAACTGCTGTTTTCCTCATTTTTCACATTAATCTCTTCCCAATGGCCTTTGGCGTTGAGAAATGATTTTCAGGCAATTCTCAAGGATCTAAAAGAATATCATTATTATCGTTTTAGACGTTCGAGTCAGCACGATTTACGTGCTAGCATTTTAAATGCATTGCTGGACAATGCATCACCGTTCTGTTTGGCACAATTAAGCTACGCCGAACTTAATTCAGAATTTTCCCATTGTTCGGCATTGGAAAAGAGTTTTTATAGACGTGAACCTTTTAGACCTCTAGTCGAAGCTGTGCCGAAAAATATATTACAAAATTGTAAAGCTTTCAAAGCCAATTTAAGAATAAGCGAGGGGGTTAAATCGCCAAAGAGTTGATAAAAGCAACAAATTTGAATCTGGAACAAAAAAAATCCTATGATAGAAAGTTTCAATCATTGTTTCTACTACCATTTCAATAGATTAACATTTGCGTATTTTCGCGGTATATAAGATCTTGCATAAGTCATCTTTCTGGATAGAGGTACCTCATAACATCATTTGATTTGATTTTTTTGGGGTTTCTTTTGGTAAAAAGTTTACTATGGCTCTCATTGCTATTATCTGTCTGTCACATCTAGAAGTTATTAAATAATCATCATTTCACTTTCATTGCCCTGTTTTTTTTTTTTTTCATATTAAATTTGTAATTTACATAACAATTATTCAATATTGCCATATCTAATTTAGATCTTCCGCATCTAGAATTCCTTCAAAAATGTGTCTGTATTCCCTTGTACAACTATTATCGTTTCACATCCTATACTCATTGTTAATTTGATATCTGTTTATTGTAATTTATCTACCATAATTATTTAAAATTCATTATCACTTTTTTTTTGTTAAATTTGTATTTTCTTGTTAAAATTTGAATAAAAATTTGAAAAAAAAATTAATAATTTTTTATTTATTTATTTTCAGAAAACCTATTGTAATAAAGGCAAACCGGTTTAGTTTTGTCTGTGCTTCTATTTTTATATAAAAAATTAATCGTTATTTAGAATAGACTGAATTTTTCTTGAATTTTAATTAAATAATGTTGTAACATTAATAAATATATATTTTTTCTATAATTTTCTTAAATTTTTCTCCAGGATTTTAATCTTTTTCAATGCCAAACACAATTCAGTGCAGTGTCAAAACCTTGTAACGTAAATCTTACAGCACTTTGTTCAAAGCCATTACAATATTCAAATGCGTAACTTAAACAAGTAAAAAAGAAGGTTTAATACCCTCCACCATGTCGAAGGAAAATGAAAAATGTCAAAAAAATCCGAAATCTACCACTTAAATGAAAACCGTATTATGGGGACTATACGAAGACGTAGAGCTGCATACGCAACTTTTGTCAAAAGCCTGCACAGAAAATTTTCTGGCATAGGCTGTAGTATCCATTACGAACTTCAAATACAAAATTTGAAATAATTCCGGTAAAGAATGACGCTAAAATCATCAAAATACCGTATATCGGGGGTACGATTATATGAGGGCTACACGAAGACTTGGACATGTACGGACAATTTTCTGTCATAGGCTGTAGTATTCATTACGAACTTCAAATACAAAATTTGAAACGATTCCGGTAAATAATGTCGCCAAAATCATCAAAATATCGAATATCAGGGGGTACCGTTATATGGGGACTATATGAAGAAGTAGACCTGCACAGACAAGCTATAGTATTTATTACGAACTTCAAATACTAGATATTGAATAGTTCCGGTAAATAATGTCGCTAAAATCATATCGAATATCGGGAGGTACCGTTATATGGGGGCTATACGAAGCCGTGCACCTACATGGCCCATTTTCAATAGCAAAAGTCCTACAGATATAATACACATTTGAGTAAATTTTTAGCAACTTACTTCATTTCGTTCGGAGGCTGGAGCGTTTTCCACAGACGGACAGACGGACGGACATTGTTAAATCGACATAGAATTTTATGCTGATCAAGAATATATATACGGGGTCTAAAATGTATATTTCGAGGTGTTACAAACGGAATGAAAATCTTAATATACCATCTATACTATGGTGGAGGGTATAAAAAAGCGCCAAATTTACCGATTTAAAAGTGAAAAAGCTGGCCCTGTCTACACTGACAGGTCAGTTGTAAACATAAACATATTTTATGGATGATATGGATGATGTGGAGGAGCTTCAAAATGTATCACGTAGATGCTGTTGCCCGCAGCTGTGTAGTAGATGATGTTTTTCGTTCTGGAATTGAGGAAATAAAATCCGTTGTTGACATATTAAAATTGTATTTATTATTTTTACTCGCCTTTTTGCTTCCACTTTCAATCATAGCGGGCGAAAGAAAAAAATAGTGGAATGCAAAATTACACTGAAATGCTGACGTTTTCGTTCGCTTTTATGTTCGTACAATTTTACGTTCTAATGGATTTTAGGGAACGGAAATCCGCTGTTTGTCGTGTAAAAGGTGTGCGATCGTGTTCTTTCGATATCGTGGAACAGGCTGTTAGTTAATTTTGCGTTAATTTGGCTTCGTTATTTTGACTAAGTTTACATTGGTAATTGTGATCAAACAGGACAAATTGTACTATGGAAATATATGTAAATTTAGTCGTGGTTGGCAAACGATTTAAATGTAAATGTAACCTAAGAAGCCTGTAGTGGAATTCTCTAACTCATTTTTTTAGTTACGGACAAAATCGGTAATTTTGAAACCAACAATTTTGATATAAAAAACAAGTTATGGTTGCCAACAATAGTATCTATCGGTAGGTCTTAGCGAGTACTTTGATTTCTTCTCTAATTTCACCAAAAGTATAAGTATTTTAAATTTAACGACAAGCGAAATTGTTGGTGTGCTATCATTTCAAAGTGAGTGGTATTATTAACCCAAAGTGGTAGGGAGAAATGTATTACTTATTTATTTCTTCTCTATTAAAAATAAAGTATTGTCACAGAGATTTTATAAATAAACTGGGAATTGTGGGTAGACAGTAGAAAGATTGAAAAATAAGCATTAAATTATATTTTTACTGTTAATCAATGTTGTGGTATAATTTTACAGTGAAATTTTATTTACAGGAAATCAATTGTGTTTCTTTGTCTTTTTAAAAAAAACTTCAATAAGCCGTTGTTTCTAGACCTATTTTTAATTAGTTCTGATTTTGACTAGGTAAGTTTACTGGCCGCAACTTTTATCGTTCCCTTGCCCTTGCCTCTTGGATTTATGTAATGCAAACGTTTTCAGCAAATTTTCCTTTTCATAATTGGTTTTTCGGTCATGTTTAATTATGTTTAATAAAAACACAATTTCTTGCAATACGCAACATTTAGCGATTTGCATAAAAGTGTGTAGGCATCATTGCTGGTGTGCTATTGGCATCACTTCCTGGTGAGTTATACCATGGTAAGTTATACTATTTAATGAAATTGAGAAGAAGAAATGTATTTTATGCTATGTAAATCATTTTATGTAGATCATTGGTATAAAAATTTCATTAAAAAGAAACGGAAATTGAAAAATACACATACATTTTCTGTTAATCAAAATTGGGCTATCGCTTTACAGTGAGTTACATTTTGTTTCAATTGCAGGAAGAAGAAGTCTATTATTTTTTTTTCTTATTTCCCACTTCATCGGCATTCTAAACAACACCCAACAGCTGAGTGTGCGTGTGCCTGCATTTCCCACTTTTACTTTCTCTCTTACTTTCTTTGTTTACGAATGCAGCTGCTTTCTTTTTCCATACAAATAGTTTTTCTCATCCAGTGTGGTTGGTGGGTGATAAAGATTCTTTAATCATTTCATCGAGTATTAATTCAACGAATAAGCTATGTCATCCGGAGAAATTTTACAATTTGCACCGCTGCAATCATTTGTTAGTCCAACCTTTTGGCATAAATTGTCAGAAATCAAATTGGATTTGGATCGGCTGAACGATAAGCCGAGATCAATATTTGGCTATTATACCAATCGCAATGCCAAATCATGTCTGCTGGAAATCGACTATACAGCATTCAATGGGTGAGTGGGCAAAGCCAATTATGGCGTATAAGCAAACGTTTATAATTAAAAAAATAAACAGATATAGAATGCACTTTTAGTGGGTGTTGTCGATATATAAGTAAGAACGTATCGCATTGGTGTTGTCTAGGAAACATATGAAGTGGGTGTATCAGATTCTCATCACAGTGTGATTTTGTAAAAGAAGCCACAAGTACTTCACTGTACGTATAAGTTGCATGGTTCATTGTCCGTTAGCAAAGGGTGTGATATGTCCTTCATAGGTCTTTTGTTTACCTGCAACATTTATCGTATTGCAGCAGGATAAAAAAAATACTGCGGAAATGCGAAGTGGGTTTAAATATTTCACATCTATGGCTCTCATGGGATATTCTAAAAAAATATACGAATATAGCTATGATTCCTTGGAGAATATTCTTGACAAATCTGTTTTCAAAAGCTCTGAAAATCCTTGAACTATACAACGCAACTTCTAAAAACGTGTTTCTATTTCCCTATTGAAATATATTCCCTGGCCTTACACAAGGGGATTCTTTCAGATCCTTTTATTTAATTTTTTCTTCCTCTTTCCTTTCAGTGATTTTAAAGCTCCAAAATTCTGCCACAAAGCTCATGGCACAATCTATAATAAAAACACTATTGAGGAATTTAAAACCTGTGACAAGAATACGCTGATGAGAGAAGAGGGTCTGAAATTAATAGAAGGTTTTCAAACAGATGCCATTCTAGACGATCCAAGCTTATTGGCCAGATTTTTTATACTGTCTTTTGCGGTAAGTTAAAAAAGTATAATATTTTTAAAGGGGAAATTCTATAACATTTACAACTTTAACATTTGTATAGGACCTAAAGTCACACAACTATTATTATTGGTTTGGATTCCCCTGTCCGCTGACATCAACACTAAATCTGGATAAACCAGTTGGAAATGTATCCAATGCCATTAAGGAAAAGCTAAAGAAATGTCTTGATGAAAGTAGTCTGTTGGATAATTTCTTTGTTTTTCAAGCCGCTGAGGGACAAGAAAAAATTCTAACTTTAAAGGAATTTGTTGTAAGCTCAGAGAAGGATGCGTCTATGGATTTGGATAATGTGTATTTCTGCTTTGCCGACAACAGTGAACACCAGCATCCCACATGGCTAATGAGAATATTTATTGCATTTCTCTTGCACAAATGGTAAGAGATTATAACAATTTAAAATAATATTAGAATTGAGAGCCGTTTGAATAGAAATCTCTTCAAAATATTCAGAAGTTTTCAAAATATAGAGACGCTGTTACACCGTTTATGGAAAAAAAAAATTCCACAAGTATTGCTTTCAAATCCGCGAGGCCATATTCTTCTTTTTTTTTCCTTAATTGTTTTAATAGTCTTTAAACACTGCAAACACAAATAACCTGTTTTCTCTTGTACTTCAGTAAAACCCTACTGGGTAAACCCCTAAAATTTATTGGCTTGCGTTATGATAATCACATGGATTTGAGCTCATCCTTACTGTGGCAAATCACACAAAAGGAAGCGTGCAATTTTGATGATGTGGAACAATTGAAATTTGTTGGCTGGGAATTGAATAAAAATCAAAAACCTCAACCACGCATGGTGTCAATGCGTGATAGCATGGATCCGCAATTGTATGTTGCATTTCAAAAAGAAAACAATTTCAACATTTCAACATTCTAAAGAAAAAAATATCTCTCTTTTTGTCCTTTCAGGCTCACCGAAAATTCCATTAATTTAAATTTGAAATTAATGAAATGGCGTCTTTTGCCTGATTTAAATTTAGATGTTATAGCCAAGACAAAGTGTTTGCTATTTGGTGCCGGTACTTTGGGTTGTGCGGTGTCTAGAATGTTGTTGGTAAGTTGTCGCTCTGAAGAGGCTGTATCTTTATTAGAAGATTTTCGATATTGATCAGATCCGTTTTTGGAGTTTTCTTCCAACAATATCTGAACTTCGTCTTTAGAAGATATCTATCCGTGATATATATTTCCAGTGCTACAAATATGGTTGTTAAGAAAAATTTCCAAGGGATTATCGGAACCATAAATGGGACAATTTAAATTAGATATTTCAAAGACATATGGGTTTGGCCATAAACGGGGACTTTTTATGAAGATTTTCAGCTATATACCAGCACTTTTTAAGATAATTCTCCAAAGGTAATCGGCGATATAAACGTGCATTTTAGGAACATTTTCACAACGATCATCAGAACTAGAACAAGTAAAAAAGCTGTATGTTCGGCCGGGCCGAACATTGAATATCCTCTACCATTTGGAACGAATTTGGCAATTCTCAAAAACAATAAAATCCGTTAAAAATTCTGTTAAAATCTTAAAAATACCGAATGTAGCTGTTATTTCAGGGTCTATACGACGACATGGGCCTGCATAGGTAACTTTTGCCATAAGCCATTACAATATTCAAATGCGAAACAGTTCCGGTAAATAATGGAGCTAAAATCATCAAAATACCGAATATCGGGAGGTTCCGTTTTATGGGGGCTATACGAAGACGTGGACCTGCACAGACAATTTTCTGTTTTAGGCTGTAGTTTCCATTACGAACTTCAAATACCAAATTTGAAACAATTCCGGTGAATAATGTCGCTAAAATCAACAAAGTACCGAATATCGGGAGGTACCGTTGTATGGGGGCTACACGAAAATGTGAACCTGCACAGACAATTTTCTGTCTTAGGCTGTAGAATATGAAGTTGGCTGTAGAATATGAAGTTGGCTGCACTTTTTCATTTCACCCTGTATATATCATTTGATACGGCCAAAGCGTGCCGTCCGTCTGTCTGGCTGGTGCTCACGATAATTCTCGAAGGGAGTAACCAATTTGGTCCAAACTTGGTACATAGTCATTTTATTATCAAACTTAGATCGAGTTCGGAGATGGACAACATCGGTCCACTCCTTCTGGTACCTCTCCCACAAAATGTCAATATATTCCAAGAAAATGATTTACTGAAAAGAAAGAGAAACGATAATCCGATAAATCCATCAGTGCTTCGTCAGGTGTGAAAATGGACAATAACGGTCAATATTTTCAATAATTATAACTCTTGTAAAATGTGATAGAAGTGTCCGCTTGTCTTCAAATCACACACATCACAAAATTTTTATTAACACAAGGTCTGGTGTGAAGATGGACAATATAGGTCCATCCCTATGGTCATGAAACTCATAAAGCATGAAACTAACAACCGATTCCATTAAGAATTGACACATCTCAGTATTTCTATCAAAACAAGATATATTATACATATGGGAGAGATCGGACCACTCCTTCTGGTACCTCCCCCACAAAGGGTCAAAATTTTGAATGTCTATGAAACTCATAAAATATGAAATTAACAACCGATTTCATTTAAGCTTGGCATATCCATTATTTTCATCAACACTAGATATGTTATAAAGATGGGAGAGATCGGACTATTTCTTCTGGAACCTTTTCCACAAAGCGTCGAAGTTTTGAATAACCAAAACGATTATAAATTGGCGAAATAAGCATCCGGTTTTCTTCTTATTTCGCATACGCCATTATTTTTACTAATACAAGATCTGCTGTGAAGATGGCATTAGGCTACTCCTTTTGCTACCTCCCACACGAGGGAGGGTCAAATTTTTGAAAATCCATGAAGCTGATAAAATGCAAAATTAACATCCGTTTCCATTCAGACTTGGCAAATCTTAATATTTCTCTCAACACAATATGTGTTTTAAAGATGGTAGAGATCGGACCATTCCTTCTGGTACCTCCCCCCACAAAGGGTCAATGTTTCCAATAACCAAGACGATTATAAAGTCCGAAATAAACATCCGGTTCTCTTCATACTTCACACACGCCATTATTTTTACTAACACAAGATCTGCTGTGAAAACGGAATATATCGGCGCATTCCATCTGGTACTTCCCCTAAATTTATAAATCTGGTATACCACGCATATTTTCACATTTTCCCTATAAAGTAAAGGAACATATCACATAATGTATGTGGTTCGTTGTAATATTTATATCAGACTAAGGTCAAGGACTTGGACAATATTGACCAACTGCGTCGGAACCTTCCCGATAACGGGTCAACAATCTGAATAATCATAACTCAAGGGGGCAAAACCGACTGATACTGTCGGCAAACTTGCTTACTATTATTTTATTTACAAGACAGTTATTAAATTTGACAGTTTCAACTTCGAGTTCTATATCCCAAAAAAATCACTTTCGGCCAGTATAAATTGCATTTTTTAATAGGCTTTGCATTTCCGGTGTTATGCGCGCCACATCCATTGGCACGGTACCAGCATAATTTGGCCGCTCCAATAGTTCGGGTATTCGTTGACACACTATTTGGGCCAATTCTAGGCGATTATGCTGCACGATCAAATGCAGTAATGTATCGCCAGAACCTAAAATCTCCATATCTTGAAAATCCAGTTGTAATTCCAAGGCAAATTCCAACATTCCCCTGATATACGGGAACGGAATGTTTCCCCTGTCGCGCACAGCCTCATGCAGTACTGTGTAACCTCTGTGGCTATAGATGAAAAACAAACGGACAATATTTCTCTTTAGGGGATGATCTTCGTGCAGGCATTTACACCTCTCAAAAAGCCGTAGAAATTCCTTCAGGCAGTTGTCATGGCCTTTAATGATGGCCACATGTAAAGCAGTGTGTCCTTCGATATCCTGTTGACACAGGGCATAACCTTGCATGACAAACGGTTCTATCAAGAAATGGAGATTATGTTGGCAGGCATAGTGCAGTAGATTTTCACGTCGTGCATTGCGACCGACCAAAATCATGTCACATGCGAAATTCTTGAAGGCCACCTTCAGTTGTTGGTTTAACTGCAAAAACAAAAATGAAAAATCAAAGAGGAAAATTAAAATACACGCTTTTTAAAGATCTAGGTCTCTGTCCTGTTTCATCAAGTCGATAAAAAAATGTTTTTTGCTAGGTCTGTCCGGTTACTTTTTCTGGAAGAGCAACTTCTTACTCCGAGAGCAATGTTGTATTGTAAAATCAAAAACCCAGATCCAGTTTGCAGATGGGCAATATCGGTCCACTCCTTCTGGTACCTCCCGATTTTTTCAAAGAAAATGTTTTATTGCACAGAGAGAGTTGATAATCCGATTTTTCTCCCACTTTGAAAATCCAATATCGGTTCATTCCATCAAGTACTTCCCCCACAAAGAATCAAAATTTTGAATAAATACAACTCTTGTTAATTGTGATGTAAAAATTACAGACATCACGATATTTTTATTAACCCAAGGTCGGGTGTAAAGATGGAATATATCGGTCCACTCCTTCTGGTACCTCCTTCACAAAGTGTCAACATTTTAAATATCTATGAAGCTCATAAGACGCGCAATTTAAATCCGATTACATTCAGACTTGGTACATCTCAATGTTTCTATCAATACAAGATCTGTTATAAAGGTGATAGAGATGGGACCATTCCTTGTGGTATCTCCCCCACAAAGGGTCAAAGTTTCGAATAAGAAAAACTATTATTAAATTCGAAGTAAGCACCCAGTTTTCTTCATATTTCACACATTTCATTATTTCACCAAACAGAAAGTCTGCTGTGAGGATGGAATATATCGGTCCACTCCTTCTGGTACTTCCCCCATAAAGGGTCAAAATTTTGAATATCCATGGAGCTCCTTAAACGCGAAATTAACATTCGATTCCATTCAAACTTGACAAATCTCAATATTTTTATCAACACAAGATCTGTTATATATGATGGTAGAGATCGGTCCATTTCTTCTGGTATCTCCTCCACATAGGGTTCAAGATTTAGGAAAAACAAAACCCTCAAAGAAAGCAAAATAAGCATCCAACTGTCTTAAATTTTTACACATCCAAATACTTTTGCTAACGCAAGATCTGTTGTGCAGATGATAAATATCTGGGAAACCCTTCTGGTGCCTCACCCACAAAGGGTCACAATTTCCAATACTTATATCTGGTATAACTTCGCGATTGCAATATCTAAATATTTCTTTCAACCAAAAATAGAAATAGGTAATTTTATGGAATTTATGATTTCGCTATATCTGTTATATCTATATCTGTTACATCAGCCATATTTCCACATTTTCCAAAAATTTGCACATAGAGAGTGAGATGAAAAACTGCAACCAACATCAGACTGCTGTCATTTCTAAGCCACCCGTCCGACAGCTGTTAAAATTATTCCAGTGACAGCTCATTATGTTGTGCACAGGCGTACAAAAGCATTTTGGTGAGAATGTTCCAGAAAAAGAGTTATTCGTGATGGAATTCAAGCGTGATAGTGTGATTTCTTTATATTTGGCTGGAAAACCACAAGTGGCTATCGTTAGAGCACTCCAGCATTTAAATGTGAATAAATCTTTTGTGTCTCGCACCATCGCTCGTTATCGCGATACTTGTAGCGTAGTCCGACATATGTCAAGGAAGTGGATGGAAGAAAGCAGCAACATCAGAAATGGTTCGAAAAGTAAAGAAGCAACTTGATCGTGGCCGAAGAATAACTCATGAGCTGAACATACCCCAATATGCCATTCGGCAAATATTGAAAAATGAGCTCGGGGTAAAGCCATGAGCCATTGAAATTCCAAAAAGTGCAAGAAGTGTAGTTTGATCGAAATTTTTTAAAAACAAAAACTTACCGTTTCATCGCTATCTGCCATGTTTGCCGCTCGGATATGTCCAGTTTGTCAAATTGCTAAACGAATACTGTACTCTCAATGCACTTTTATATCGCTATTGTTACAAAGCTTTTGAGGAATTTCCCTTTATAATATTGCATGCATTGTGTTTCATTGTGAATTTGTGAAAGTTATGCAATATTTTCCATTGCTTTTTTTATACCCTCCACCATACTATGGAGGGTATATTAATTTTGTCATTCCGTTTGTAACTCCTCGAAATACTCATGTCAGACCCAACAAAGTATACATATTCTTGATCAGCATAAAATTCTAAGACGATTTAGCCATGCCATATTCGGTATTTTGATGATTTTAGCGACATTGTTTACCGGAATTTGGTATACCGTTCCAAATTTGGTATTTGAAGTTCGTAATAGATACTGCAGCATAAACGTAGGTCCACGTCTTCGTATAGCCCCCATATACCGTACCCCCCGATATTCGGTATTTTGATGATTTTAGCGACATTATTTACCGGGATTGTTTCAAATTTCGCATGTGAAGTTCGTAATGGATACTTCAGCCCATGCCAGAAAATTGTCTGTGCAGGTCCACGTCTTCGTATAGCCCCCATATAACGGTACCCCCCATATTCGGTATTTTGATGATTTTAGCTACATTATAAACAGATTTTTCTTGAAGTTTCGCATTTAAATATTGTAATGACTTATAACAAAAGTTGCCTATGCAGGCCCACGGCGTCGTATAAGCATTCGGTATTTTTAAGATTGTAACAGAATTTTTAACGGATTTTATTTTTTGGAAATTGCCAAATTTGTACCAAATGGTGGAGGGTATTAAAAGTTCGGCCCGGCTTACTTACAGCTTTTTTACTTGTTCTTGCTAAACACTTAACCAAGGGGAATTGTCCTTTATCACATGCAAAAATTGTGATTCAGATATATTGAGGGCAAATCCCGAAACATTCGGTGAAGCCGTTCATTTATACCATCCACCATAGTGAGATAAAAAAAACTGCAACAATGTCGAACGCCATAATTTTTAAATATTTTTTTTTTTTAATTTTATTGAATGAAAGCAAAAAATGTCGGAAATAGCATAAAATTTTAGAATAAGTTTAGATTTGTTCGAATTGGTCACAAGTTGCCCGAATGTTGTTCTGCGGTGGCCCATTCACGGCGAAGCGCTTGCTTAAGGTGATCGACACTTTTAGTGCCAACCTTGCTTTCCAAAATACTCCAGACACAATAGTTCAACGGATTGTTATGTGGAGATTTCATTTTCAGCTGACCTCTTTGGCAAGTAAACACGATTATTGTGTTTGTTTACAAACTGCTGGACAACGAATGTTTTCTCATCGGAGAAAGCCAAATTCGGTAGTTCACCACTTTCGGCCAAGCGAAGCAAGTCTTTAGCTCTTTTGAGTCCATTTTCTTTCTGTTGCGGTGTAAATTCTTGCACTTTTTGAAATTTCAATGGCTTTATCCCGAGCACATTTTTCAATATTTTGCTGAATGGAATAATGCGATATGTTCAGCTCACGAGCCATGTTTCGGCCACTTTTCGAACCATTTCTGCTGATGTTGCTGTTTTCTTCCGCCCACTTCCTTGACGTCGGGCTACGCTTCCGGTATCACGGTAACGAGCGATGGTACGAGACACAAAATATTTATTCACCATTAAATGCTGGAGTGCTCTAACATTAGCTACTTGTGGCTTTCTAGCCAAATATAAAGAAATCACACTTTCACGCGTGAATTCCATCACGAATAACTTTTTTTCTAGAAAATTCTCATAAAAATGCTTTTGTACGCTTGTAAACAATATAATGAACTGTCACTGGAATAATTTTAACAGCTGTCGGACGAGTGGCTTAGAAATGACAGCTGTCTGAAGTTGGTTGCAGTTTTTTCATCTCACCCTGTAATAGTGTTTTTTTTTTTTTGAAAAATATCAAAGCTGTAAACATTATAATTTTTAATAAGGATTTTCAAGGATTTCAGAACAAAAACGCCGACTTTATAACAATATTAAGAGATTTTTTAAGGAACGCCAGACAATAAACTTGGATTATAATTTTATTTAAAATTAATCGAAACTAACGGTTGACTTTTAAAAAGCCTAAAATTTTGTAGGCAATACTTTTTGAGGAAAAACACAGCTTGAAACGCGAAGTTTTTAAGAAGAATTTTTCGAGGACTATTATAATTTTTATCGTAGACTTTAAAAATAGATTTTATGGAGCACTAATAAAATTAACGACAATTTTCAATTTTAATATATATAATATTTTTATACCACAATTTTTGTCGTTTAGGGCTGGGGCTTTAAGCATATAACTTTCATTGATAATGGTAAAGTTGGTTTGGCCAATCCGGTGCGTCAATATCTCTATACCTTTGAAGATGCCGTCAAGGGTGATGTCATGAAAGCCGATGCAGCAGCTGCTTGTATGAAGAAAATCAATCCCGGAACGGTAAGTGGAAAAACTCCCATTATTAACAGATTTAATTGGCATACTTTATAATTTTTGTTGAAATTTTCTAGATTTCCACTGGTCATGTCATGCAAATTCCCATGCCTGGGCACACAGTGGGTGAATCGTTAAAAGAACAAACCGAAAAGGATCTTAATAAACTGAAAGACTTGGTACAAGAACATGATGTACTGTTTCTGCTTACCGATTCGCGGGAAAGTCGTTGGTTACCCACCTTATTGGGGGCGGTTTATGGAAAGGTTAGTGGAACACCATACAAAATAAGACATAGATATTTTAAGCAAATTAATGTTTCTGCTCTGCCCTGTAGATTGTTATCAATTCTGCCCTTGGCTTTGATAGTTATTTAGTACAAAGACATGGTGGCACCAGAACTACAGAAAGTTCTGCAAATGACGACAACAATACCCAGATATTGGATAATTTAAAATGTATTGCCGGCCATCAGTTGGGTTGTTATTTCTGCAATGATGTCACTGCACCAGGAAATGTAAGTAGACCACGATTTACTGTAGTTTAGAATTATTATATTACAAAAAATATAAATCTTAATAATAGAATTTGGCAAAATTAACAATCAATTTAAAACAATACAGAAATGGGCAAGATTTCTCTTAGGCACACTCAGAATCGAAACGTGTATATTTCTCAAATCCTGTGCACAATGGATCACCCATTTGAACATGATCCACCCCGGTTATGTGCATGTGCAAACCATTTGTACAGGCCACCTTGAAGCCCACCAACTTTTGTAATATATTTGGTGTGCGATAGCTATAGCTGCAGAAATTGTAGCCATCCACGGCTGTCAGGAATTCACGCTCCGTAAAGGCAATGGCCAGTTTGAATTGTTGATTGAAAACAAATGGAAAGCCACCGTGACGCTCTTCATGGCCAAATCTGAGGGAGAAACAAAAAAAAAAAAAAAAGAAAAAAAAAGTTAAACTACAAATTAAATTCTTGGACAACATCTCAAACTCACTCATTTTTACTGTCATGACTATTGCGCACCACCACCTTCTCATTGAATCGTACACTAAAGTGTAGCTCCTCCCGTTTGGTATCGGTGTCCATAAACTTAATTATAAATTGTCCCTTTTTATTGTCAAAACAACGCGCCGTCATCACAACAACATGACCCGGACTAAAGAGGATGGGCGCATCATTGCTGAACGCCTTAAAATAGTCACTGGCATGTATGGGCGGCCAGGGATTTGGGAACACTGTACGATGATCGATTTGTTTGATGGCTTGTATTTGATCCTTCAGCTCTAATGCACGCAACGACTCCAACGGCAATCGATAGTTAAACGTACAATAGGGTATACTGTTAATCGATATGTGGAATTTCTCCTCGCAACACAGGATATAGATCATAAAGAAGTCTCCCGATGCTATGGGATTGGGTTGTGAATATTTGCTAATATTCTCGATTTCTTCCTCGCCCCACTGGCCATCGATGCGAGCATTGCGCACAATACAATTTTCACGAAAATACACTGAAATCCGTAAACCAATATCAGCTTTGGGATTGATAATCGATTTACTGGTCATCAGGGAAAGGTTGAATCTGAAACAAAGAGGAACAAGGAAAATTAAAAACATATTTCTCGTTTGAAAAGAAGGTTTCCCACGTTTCAATGTTATTTTTAATAGATTAAGTCTTCGTGTTTCTATTATCCTAGAACTTTTTGGACCCTGAAAGATCTCGTTGATGCATATATGTGAGATTATTTCGTTTATATTGGAGGTTGTGTTGTGATGGGCTTTAAGAAAGGATTTTTTTTAGGACTAACAGAGCAATAAATGTGGAGTCCTTTTAGAGGTATAAATGTGGACTATCTGAGAATATTTTATAGGGACAATCAGAGAGTAAGCCATAAATGTCAAATTTAAAGAAAGGGTTTTCAAGTCCTATCAGAGTAAAAAAAATGATTTTTTAAAGATTTTTTCAGGGGCAATAAACTTGAATTTTCAAGAAACATTTTTTTCAAGAACTGCCACGGCAATAAGCATGGACTTTTAAGGAAGACTTAGTTTTCAATGTCAAAGTTATGAACACGGACTTCAAAGCAACAAACATGAACTTTTACGGTTGATTGTTCCTAGGACTATCAGAGCAATTAACGTGGGCATTAAAAGGAGATTTTTTCAAGGCATATCCGAGCAATAAAAATGGAATTTTACAGCAGATGGTTTCAAGGAAAATCGAAGCAATTAACGTGAATGTTTCAAGGACTATCAAAACAATACTCCCGGAATTAAAGAAAGATTTTTCAAGGACTGTCAGGGCAATAATCAGGAATTTTAAAGCAGATTGTTACAGGAATTATCAGAAGAATTTTAAAGCGGACGGTTTCAAGGACTGACCTAGCAATATTCGTGGACTTTTGGTGGAAATGGTTTAAGGGACTATCAGAGCAATTAACGTGGAATTTTAAGCGGTTTTTTGTATTTTTGCAGAATAATTGTTATGAAATATTTTGATATTTAAAGGAAAGGACTTTTCAAGGAAAATCAGGAACGGATGCTTATTTCGCATTTTATAAGAGTTTTGATTATTAAAAATGTTGACTTCTTTGTGTTGGAGGTACCAAAGGAAGTGGACCTCTGTTTTCCGTTTTTCCCACTGATCTTGGACTGATAAAAATATTTGGATTTGAAAAGTTGAAATAAAATTCGATGGTAGATCCATTTTGGGAGCTAAATAAATATTGAGCTAAATATGTGAACCGATTTTACTTATCTCTGAATCTGATATATGTTTGCTAATAGTATTACAATGTACTAGGTTTGGATCAAATCGGATACTCCTTTCGATCGTGCGCTCTAGCTAGTAACAATTGTTGGGTGGCGGGTGTTGAGTGCGATAGTGCGGAGTCCTGTTGGAATGTCAAAGGTCTGCGGCCAAAATGTTTGCGTTCCCAATGTTTTAATACATACTCCAGAATATTTTAGCGATAATATTCGGGATTTATTCTGATGCCACGGTCGAATAATACGAGCGGAGAGCGACCATCGGCTGTTGTGGCTGGCCACACCATCACCGTGGCTGGTGCTTGAATTCTGGTGGCCAACCGAAGGTGCACATTTTCAGCTGGCCTCTTTACCAAGTAAACACGATCATTTTGTTTGTTTACAAACTCTTGGACAACGAATGTTTTCTCATCAGATACGGAGGAAATCAACTTCGGCAGTTCACCACTTTCGGTCAAGCGAAGCAACTCTTTAGCCTTTTTGAGTCTATTTTCTTTCTGTTGCGGTGTAAGTTCTTGCACTTTTTGGAATTTCAATGGATCATGGCTACCCCGACCTCATTTTTCAATATTTGCCGAATGAAATATTGTGATATGTTCAGCTCACGAGCCATTTTTTGGCCACTGCGATGCGGGTTTCGATCAAGTCGCTTTTTTACTTTTGGAACCAATTCTGCTGATGTTGCTGTTTTCTTCTCTCCACTTCCTTGACGTCGGGCTACCCTACCAGTATCACGGTAATGAGCGATGGTACGAGACACAAAAGATTTATTCACATTTAAATGCTGGAGTGCTCTAACGATAGCCACTTATGGTCTTCCAGCCAAATATAAAGAAATCACACTATCACGCCTGAATTCCATCACGAATAACTTTTTTTCTGGAAAAGTCTCACCAAAATGTTTTTATACGCTTGTAAACAACATAATGAGCTGTCACTGGAATAATTTTAACAGATGTCGGACGAGTGGCTTAGAATTGACAGCAGTCTGAAGTTGGTTGCAGTTTTTTCATCTCACTCTGTATACGTTGAGCATTAAAATGTGGCACAGTAGTTTTCATTGCGTCTAGGATGGTTGGCAGTGAAAATGAGATACATCGGTCCACGTTTTGGTATAACCCCCATACAATGGAGGCTTAAAATTTGACACAGTAGTTTTCATCGCGTCTAGGATGGTTGGCATTGAAAATGAGATACATCGGACCACGTTTTGGTATAGCCCCCATACAACGGTACCTCCCGATATTTGGTATTTTGATGATTTTTGCCACATTTTCCACGGATTTGTCTAAAAATTGGGATTTCTAATTCATAATGGATTCTAGATCCGGTGGCAGAACATTGAATATTTAGGTCCGCATTTTTCTATAGTGCACATATTACGATACCCACTTAATGTTTAAATGTTTTTTTACTTGTTAAACATTAAATTATATGGGCGGTACTATCAATTCGAAAAAAAAACATTTCATCGGATTTGTAATGTTTTTTTTGGATTCCTCGACGATCATTTCGAGATGTTACAAACGGAATGACAAAGTAAGTATAAACTTTTAAGTGAAGTCAGCTAGTATGTCCAGACTTTCGGCATCAACAACATCAACAATAATGCGCCACTCCTTGTGGTAAATTTTTCATGGAGTCCAGTAAAAGTTTTGTTCGGCCATCTCAATACATTTCCCAGTTACGCGATGTGTCCATAAATTGCATTGCAATCTATAACAGACATACATACACATCATTGGATCGAACTCAATTCCATATTTCCCAACAGTTGACATTTGCTTTACAATAAATAGTTCATCCATAAATTCTTATTATTACTCATGCCATGGCATTCACACCTATAAAATACCTTATCAACCATTTAGTTTTATTTATTGATAAGGAATTTAGGGCTTCAGTTCAAGTACTTTAAAGAGGGAGAAAAAAGTACCCACCTTGAGGCACCATCGATTGTCTTTCCAACTATTTCCAGGGCATGGCCAAATTCTAGGTGATGAGCCAAGTTCCCGGCAAATTCAGTTAGCATTTTGTATAGATATTTTTTTGTTCTTGTATTGATGGGTTGTTTTGCTTGTTTATCTACAACACTTGTTTAAATTTGTTTTTTTTCTATTTTGTTTTTCGCCTAATTTGTAATTGGACTCCTGCACTTGCAGAGTTGTTTTCCTGCCCGGCTTTGGCTAAATACTGAAATTCCGTTTCAATCCGTTCAAGAAGAATGTGTTTTATTTCTTTGTAGTGTTTTTTTCTCGCTATTGACTACAACAATAACTATTTTGTTTGTTGTTATCAGTTTTAGTTGTTGTGTTGTTTTTTTTTCGTTTTTTATCTAATCACAATGGCATGAAAGCCAATAAATACGCTTATGACGGTTTGTTTGTTGGAGCAAACGCTTTTATTTTGTCATTTTCCATTCGGCTGAGGGTAGAGCAATTTGGGAATTCTTTTTTCTTTTCTGTATTTGACGGTTTTCTTTAGTTTTTCATTAACTTGGTGTGGGTAAATGTGACATTTGGGAAGATTTCCCTTCTACTGGAAATTGTAATGCATTTGAACTGCGTAGCCAGTCAGTCAACCAGCCATTCAAGTTTAGCACTTTGCACTACCATGTCTGTCCGGTTCATTAAGAATATTATTTACATTTCGCTCTTTATGTATCTCTCCCATGTCATGTGTCTCTTTCGATGACTCTCTTGTTAGTAGATAGGTTAGTGTCGGTAGCTCTTTGCCTGGCCATTGCAGTGATGCTCAGTTTTATTTAGGGGGAATTGTATTTGCCCCAAATCGTAAGTATAAGCTGAGAGAAAATATGAGACGAGAATGGCCGCCTATTTAATACAGATGAGTTGGTGTTATAAGGTGAGGGGTTAGTGTTGCTCTTCGTTGTCTGTTTATGGTATTCTCTTTGATCAACATCTGAAATATCTGAAATGAACAAACTTTGATACGAGATTGTGAAACTTTTATTTTTACAACGTTTTTGGTTAGAAAATATGGAAGTTATTTAAAAGATAAATTGCAAATGTGCCCAATCACGGATATCCGCACGGAATTCTATTCCCAGGGAAAGAATTTTGTGGCCTGTGCCTCCTAGTGGGTTAACCGTAAAAATAAATAAAAAGAAGACAAAAAGGTGTCAATCATTAAAAAAGTAACAGCTGATGTTTAAAGTTACCAAAACTCAAATAAATGTGGTAAATAATAGAAATGTATAGGATGAAAATGACAAACAATAAATTTCCTGGTCCCTCTTTTGATCTGAGCCCGGACAAAGATGTTGGTGTGGCCCCAACAAACCAAGGCGTAAGCAAAGAATAACAATAGATTTGAATCGTAATATTCTTTATTGAATATTTAATGAAGTTCCTACAATATGCATTTAGTGCTACGAATTATAAATACAACCAAAGAAAAAGTAAAAGAATTTTTGAATACGAAATTTCCGGTACAATTCTTTGTATCAAGATGTCCAGTTTTAGTGTGTTTTTTAAATGCAGGACATCTTGATAAGATGGGAAATTCCCAGTACTTCAGAGAAATTTAGGGCTCAGTCTCTAAATAAAGGCAAACTCATTAGGTCACTAGGCGCCCAATATAGGTCATTTCGAATTATCTTGGCATTTCAATACACTTGAAAGGAAGAGAGATAGGGATTGTGTAGATCGCCAAAATAAAATTGAGAGGACTTATTTCAAAAGTTTTCATAAGGAATCCTAAGTTTTTTTGGTCCTTAAAAAATATTTTTTTAAAATCCCCAATTTTTAATCAGGAGGTCCTTAAAAATGTTTGTTAAAAATTCCCAATTTTTAATCAGGAGGTCCTTAATTTTTTTTTTTTTTTTGGCCTCGAGATTCGTCAATTCCTAAACAACCTCAATGTTTAGTCAGAACGTCTTTCAGGACATATTTTTGACCTTCATGTTTGTTCTAGGAAAGAAAAATCCACCTGCGAACCTCTGGAAGTTTTTACCACCTTAGCACTGCTTTCTCATTACCCTGGAGTGGCTGCCGAGCATCTAAAGCCCTCTTCTTCTAGCTTCCGCTAGGGTTGTCCAAGTTCCTCTTGGAGTCCAGTTTTCTTCTGAATTTTAAATTTTTGCAGTGCGATATTATGGCTTGAAATAACGCCTGGACGTCTTTCAGGACATATTTTTGACCTTCATGTTTGTTCTAGGAACGAAAAAACCACCTGCGAACCTTTGGAAGTTTTTACCACCCCAGCACCGCTTTCTCATTACCCTGGAGTGGCTGCCGGGAAATTAAAGCCCTCATCTTCTAGCTTCCGCTAGGGTTGTCCAAGTTCCTCTTGGAATCCAGTTTTCTTCTGATTTTTAAATTTTTGCAGTGCGATATTATGGCTTGAAATAACGCCTGTTTTTGTACTTCCAGTTCTGATCGGAGGTCTGCCCAAGGTCTGTACGACACAGAAATTGCATCAGTTAAAATTTGTGCGGAGAATCGCTTTTCGCATGGCTAAACAAATACTTGCGGAAATATCCATGTCCCGAAAGCATAATTGTTTCGGTTTGTCCGACTCGTCTACCATTTTTCAGATATCTCCTATTTTATTTGAACAAGTTCTCAAGCGTCATATTGGAAACATTTTGCTTCAAATATTTTCAATCGCTATTCTGCCACCAAATACTTCGGATATACCCATATCCGAGGAGCATATGTGTCATGCAATTGATTATATATCATGCTTTCGTTTGGTCCATACTTTTATGTCTGGGATGAGCATTGTCCGCACGTCTCCCGATTTTGAAACGTCTACCATTTTTCGTATGTCTCCTACTTAATTTGAACAAGTTTTTAAGTGTCTTATAGGATACGCTTTCTGCCACCAAATCGATAGGTACCATGTCCCTTATAATTTGTACTGCTGGCCCTGAGACTGTGCGCTATGCAGATGACACTCCCTCAATTTGTGTGTTCTTTTTTTATTGAGCAAACCCCCGGTTGGGAATTCGCTTTTGTACAAAAGGATGATGTTACATGTCTCCATCAGTAGTCACCTCTAGATGAGGTAGGGAATAATAATAGTAATAATATTGATAAATTTCTCCTTTTACTTTCAGTCCCTCAAAGATCGCACACTGGATCAACAATGTACTGTAACCCGTCCAGGCGTTTCAAATATTGCCGCCAGTTATGCTGTGGAACTGTTGGTATCGCTACTGCAACATCCATTACGGGAAATGGCTCCGGCTTATTATGCCATGACAACCAGCAGCAGTGGTGCAACATCTTCCCAACAGACATATAACAAAATACCAGAAGGTATTTTGGGCATTATACCACATTCCATCCGCGGAATGTTGAGTAGTTTTGAAAATATTCTACCAGCTACACAGAAATTTGTACAATGTATTGCTTGTTCGGAGGTAAGCAGAACAGAGAAGAGTTCAATCCCATTCTTATTTTCATTCTTATTTTTCTTTCACTTTACAGAAAGTCCTGAGCGAATATCGTTTACATGGCAATGGATTTCTATTCAAAGTATTTGAATCGGCTAAATTTTTGGAAGATTTGACGGGTATTTCAGATTACAAGGAATTACAGAATGAGGTGAGATTTTGAAATACTTATCATGTTTGTGTGTTTTTGTTAAATTTGTTTTTTATTTCCTTCCTTTCAGATAATCGACTTCAATGACTCGGATATGGAACTGTCCGATGAATAATTTCCAATAACAACGAAATATTTTTAAATAGCTCTATATTTTGTCGAGTTTGCATTTGCATTTGAAGATGATGACCAAAATGATGCATTATAATCTAGTTATTAATTCTCACTACTTTGCGATTTATATGTGTGTACCTATGTGTGTGTATTTATAATTCTTACAAGTGCTAATAAATGTATTTTATTGATATTGATAATGGGCCACCGCACCACGTGGTAATATATCAAAAAGCGAAGGACATAATTGCACCAAGATTAGTGTAAATTTCACATCCCTTAAAAATAAAGTATTGATTTCGATACAGAAGGAAAGAAGTCAAAATCCTTCGAAAACAATTAGTTGTAACTATACAGAAGGCTATGGCACAACCACGATCGTAGCAAGGCGTTTTAAAGTATCTGCAACGAGTTAACAACTTTGATAACGAAGCAATCCTGGGCTGTGGCGTGCGGAGAAAAACAACAGCATTGGTGACCAAAGCTTAAAACAGAAACGATAAGGTGGTATCAATAATATATACTTAACAATTAAAATAGTATCAACCGGGTTTTTCCGACAGACCCTTTATGGGGGCGGTTCCGAAGCAGTTGGACCATATTGACCAATTCGTATCCGACCTAAGACTGATAAAGGTATCAGATATCAGATTTAAACTATATCGACTACTTCCTATACTTTATATGGGATATGTTCAAATTTTTGGATAATGTGGAAATATGCGTTAGGTAACAGATATAGCGGACCGAACTATTCCAATTTTATAATTCATCTTATAAAAATATTGGTATGTGCCAAATTTGAAGGAAGTCGAACATTTATATCCAATTTTATGCGAAATCATAAATTGCAGATTTCTGGTTAAGAAAAATATTTGGATATAGTAATTTGTAAAGAATCGATTTGTTTCGCAAGTTATGTCAGATATAAGTATTGGAAATTGTGACCCTTTGTGGTTGAGGTACCAGAAGGGGTTGGCAAATATATATCACCTTCAGATATGTTAGCAAAAATGTTTGTATGTGTGAAATTTGAAGAGAGTTGGATGCTTATTTTGCTTTATAACAGATCTTGTGTTGATTTCCATCAATGATTTCCATTTTGAGATGTACCAAGTCTTGAATGGATATGGATGTTAATTTCACGTTTTATGAGCTTCATGGTTATTCAAAATGTTGACTCTTTATGGGGGAGGTACCAAAAGAAGTAGACCAAAGTATCCCATCTTCACAGCGTATCTTGTGTTAGTAGGAATAAAGGGATGCGTGAAATATGAAGAGAATTGGATATTTATTTTGGATGTTATAATCGTTTTGGCAACTCAAAATTTTGACCATTTGTGGGGGAGGTACCAGAAGGGATGGTCTGATCTCTACCACCTTTATAACAGATCTTGTGTTGATAGAAACATTGAGATGTGACAAGTCCAAATGGATTCCGATGTTAATTTCGCGTTTTATGAGATTCGTGGATATACAAACCTATATATCTCATCTTCACACCATACCTTGGGGTAATAAAAATATTGTGATGTGTTTAATTTGAAGGCAATCGGACTCTTACATAACATGTTATAAGAGTTATAATTTTTCAAAATATTGTCAATTTTCGCGACTGACTTATGAAAATATTAGGATTTACAAATTTAAAATCAAATCAGAAAATCAGATTATCCTTTCTCTTTCTGTGCAATAAATTATTTTCTTTAAAAAGCTCGACCTTTTGTGGGGGAGGTACCAGCAGGAGTGGACCGATATTGCCCATCTCCGAACTCGACCTTAGTTTGACAGTACTATTACGATGTACCAAGTTTGAATCAAATCGGATACTCTCTTCGAGAGTTATTGTGCGCACCAGCCAGACAGACGGACGGACGGACATCGCTTGATCGACTCCAAATGTCCTGAATCGGATTTGGTCCAGAAAACTATGGTCTAAAACCGTTATTTCGATGACGCACGTTTTGGCCGTATCTAATGATATATACCCTCTCTAGCCATATGGCTGAGGGTATAAAAAAAGAACTTTTTAAATTTCGAAAATTTTTTTTACAATTCTGGAATTGAACCCGAGATGTTAGGCATCCGAATCTCATTTTCTGCAACTGTGCCAAGCAGTATATTACATCTGTAGTGATGAAATGACAATATATGATGCGAATAAATATAGCTTTAAAAGCTCAAAGGATATTTGCTAGAAATAACGAGGAATATAAATCTCACAGATAGATGGCGCCCAACTGAGAAACTTAATTTGAAAACATAAACGTTTTTATAGCAAAGCTTCGAAAATTAAATGATTCGGGGAATTTCGTACTATTTTTTTAAAGTCATGCTCACATAAACAGAAAATTGTCTGTGCAGGTCCGCGTTTAACGGTACCTCCCGATATTCGGTACTTTGATGATTTTAGCGACATTATTCACCGGAATTGTTTTAAATTTTGCATTTGAAGTTCGTAATGGATACTACAGCCTAAGACATCTATTTGTGACATTTATATTCCTCGTTATTCCTAGCAAATATCCTTTGAGCTTTTTAAGCTTTATTTATTCGCACAATATTTCGTCATTTCATCACTACAGATGTAATATACTGTTTGGCACAGTTGCAGAAAATGAGATTCGGATACCTAACATTTTGGGTTCAATTCCAAAATTGTGAGAAAAAAACGATATTTTTCGAAATTTATGGCTGGAGAGGGTATATATATATTAGATACGTCCGTCCGTCTAACTGCCTGGGTATCCGATTTGACCCGAGTATCCGATTTGATACAAACTAGGTACATCGTAATATTATTGTCAAACTAAGGTCGAGTTCGGATATGGGTAATATAGGTCCTCTCCTTCTTGTACCTCCCCCACAAAATGTCAACATTTTCAAAGCAAATAGTTTACTGCACAGAAAGAGAAAGGAAAATCAAGTTTTGCTCCAACTTTGCAAATCCTAATATTTGCATCAGTGCTAGATCAGGTGCGAAAATGGACAACATCGGTCTGCTCCATCAAATATCTCCACCACAAAGGGTCAACATTTTGAATAAAATTTAATTTGTATAAAATGTGATGTAAGTGTCCGATTGTCTTCAAATTACACACATCACAATATTTTTATTAAACCAAGGTCTGGTGTGAAGAGGGAATATATCGGACCACTCCTTCTGGTATCTCCCCCACAAAGTGTCAAAATCTTGAACATTCATGAAGTATGAGAAGTAGTCGATTTAGTCTAAATTTGAAACGTTGTAATATTTATATCAGCCTTAGGTCAGATACGAATTTGTCAATATTGTCCAAATGCTTCAGAACTTCCCCCAAAAAGGGCCAAACAGTTTGGGGTATACAGTGTGAGATGAAAAAAACTGCAATCAACTTCAGACTGCTGTCATTTTTAAGCCACTCGTCCGACAGCAGCTAAAATTATTCCAGTGACAGCTTATTATGTTGTTTACAAGCGTAAAAAAGCATTTTGGTAAGAATTTTCCAGAAAAAAAGTTATTCGTGATGGAATTCAAGCGTGATAGTATGATTTCTTTATATTTGGCTGGAAAACCACAAGTGGCTATCGTTAGAGCACTCCAGCATTTAAATGTGAATAAATATTTTGTGTCGCGTACCATCTCTCGTTACCGTACCGTGATACTGGTAGCGTAGCCCGACATTTGTCAAGGAAGTGGAAGGAAGAAATCAGCAACATCAGCAGAAATGGTTCGAAAAGTAAAGAAGCGACTTGATCGAAACCCGGGTCGCAGAGGCCGAAAAATATTATCGTGAGCTGAACATATCGTAATATTCCATTCGGCAAATATTGAAAAATGAGCTCGGGGCTAAGCAATTGGAATTCCAACAAGTGCAAGAACTTACACCGCAACAGAACAACTGAAAGAAAATAGACTCAAAAGAGCTAAAGAGTTTCTTCATTTGGCCGAAAGTGGTAAACTGCCGAATTGGGTTTTCTCCGATGAGAAAACATTCGTTGTTCAGCAATTTGTAAACAAACAAAATGATCGGGCTTACTTGCCAAAGTGGTCAGCTGAAAATTTACACCTTCTATTGGCCACCAGAACTCAAGCGCCGACCATGCTGATGGTGTGGGTCATAACGCCATAACAACCGATGATCGCTATCCGTTCGTATTAGTCAACCTTGGCATCAAAATAAATGCCGAATATTATAGCGAAAATATTCTGGAGGGTGTATTAAAGCCTTGGGCACGCAAACATTTTGGCCGCAGACCTTGGACATTCCAACAGAACTCAGCACGCACCACCCAAGAATGGTTACAAAATGTGTATCTTCGTTTCATTTCCAACGCACAATGATCACCAAAATCTCCGGATACCAACCCGTTGGACTATTTTGTCTGGAGTATTTGGAGGAAAGCAAGGTTGGCACTAAAAAACACCAAAGTGTCGATCACCTCAAGCAAGAGCTGCGCCGGGAATGAGTCAAAATACCTCAGAACAACATTCGGGCAGCGTGTGACGGTTTCATTGGCCGTTTGAAGGCCATAATTCGTGCCAAAGGTAACCAATTCGAACAAATCTAAACTTATTCTAAAATTTAATGCTATTCCGACATTTTTTGTTTTTTACTCAATAAAATTAAAAAACAAAAATGTAAAAATTATGGCGTTTGACTTTGTTGCCGTTTTTTTTTTAATCACATCTTACATCTGTCGGCAAAACCGACCGATACTATTTTACTTGTTTTAAAGAACAAAAAAAAAAACAACATCACGACTGGGAAAATACAATTCTGGGTCATAAAATAGTTTTGCAGTTGCGCTATATGGTCATCCGCAACTTTCGACGCAAACTCCCCGACGGGGAATTGAACCCCGGTCTCCCGCGTGACAGGCGGGGATACTAACCACTATACTATCGAGGATTTCTTGTGTGCCAGGGTTTGGTTGAAGGTCAAAAAGGATAATGTAAAGGCAACATGCACAAATGACAGAATGGATGAAAAAATGTCCTTTATTGTTTTATGGGCAACATGCATCAGGCAGAATCTGGGGAAAAGAAAGGCAAGTTTTATTCATTATTTTCAATCTAATTCTTCAGCACTACTTCTAATCATTAATAAATAAAATCTTTTGGAAATTCTTAAAGCTTCATGTTGGTTATTTTATTAATTCTGATGAAACTCCATACCCCGTCGCCATGAACAGGGGCCACTCACACACACACACACACACACCAATACAACATTAGCCGGCAAGCCAAAAGAAATGG